GCACACCGAATATTGGTGTTAGGTGGATTCGCAAGGAAAAGAATTTATCTGATGTGGTGAAGTTGACGGTTAGGCAATTATCCAGTCTGAGCTGTCCTTAGACAGTAAAAGATTGAGCACAAGGAGATGGGGAAGAGAGCACAACTAATGAGAGCGACAGCAGCATGCTGTGGATGAGAAAAGATTGAAGCTGTTGAATCGGGCTTTGCAAGGCAATTGCTTCCTTTTTTCACATTTGAAGGAGGATTTCACGATGAGGTTGTAGGTCAAAGAATGGGAAACCCACCTAGTGCCCCTAAGGGTGCAGATCGACGCGCAATTCACAGCCAGGATATGCTGCCCGGCGATCTAGCATGGCCGCCTCCGCTCCGCCATCGCCGCTGCCTGCCCACCTCCACGCCGTCTGACTCTAGCCGCCTAGCAGGAGAGCGATAGAGTTGTTAAGTCAGCACCGCTGAGACACGCCTAACGCGCAAATCAAGGGCAAAAGGGGTCCCATTGCTCGGGCTCTAGGTCGTTTTTCCTTGGTTTCTTTTTCAATCCTGCATCATCTGATCCTTCTATCTTGATTTCTGGTGGGCTGTCATTCGTCTTAAACTTCGCCTTTAAGAGCCAAGAGAACGGAAAATCTGCGACCTTCGCGGACAGTGCTATCCTACCCACCAGAAGGATTCACCCACCTGAACTTATCCTGGCTTGTCTTAACTGGGGTACCCTACTTGTCTACCCTGGGGTGAGGAGGGATGGGATAAAACACACCGAGTTGTACATTAGCTGACCCTGCTCTTTGTGTCGGCCAAATAAATTCAAAATACCACTATGATTCTCAATAGAAGTAGCATGCGTGGTGCACTCAAAACCACCCAAATCAAGATTCCATCAAATGATCTACCAAAATGCTTTATGTTTTTTTAGGTGAATAGAGTCCAAACTTGCTTTTACTTACCCTTCTGAATATACGTCAACAAAATAGTTCGGACCACCGCGCGGCTGGTCGTGGCCACGCCTCGTCGCAACTGCAGTGGACGCTTTTCTTTTAGCGTCATTTGAATTTGAGTGTTACAGGGAAGTCGAGCAGACCTGTCTCTTTGAAATTCAACTCCAATCGAATGCTGTCAAAATCAAAGCCCCGCGCAGGGTCAACCGTTACGTTGGACCGACGTTGACCGCTCTCCGCGCCGGCATTCACTCTCGCCACCCGCGAGCCGTCTGTGTCTCCGTGCGTACGTTCACTCTCGGCATTACTCTCACACGCTAGAGAGCCATGCGTTGGACTTTGTCCAACGGACGGTTGACCCTGGCCCCGCGTTCTTTGAGAAACTGCCGCGTTGCGACGCCACGCAAGTGGCCGCACGCGGGGCCCGACAACCGGACAAAATTGTGGGAGGAAAATTGTCCGGTCGTCGGGCTGACCGCTCCCTCGCCATTCCTCTCACCCTTTTTCTGTGATTGTTTGCTATCCTGGAGAGTGAGAGCGTGGAACCAATCTTTAGCCTGAGCTGTTTATCAGACACTGAGGAGAGATTTGTTGGGAGATTGATTGGATAAAGGCAGATGCCACGGAGTGAGAGTGGACATAGAGGTTAACTCAATTTTCTGTATTGCGACTGAGAGAGGACCGATGACGCTCCCAGCATATGTGGTGCTCAAAACGTAGGTTGCTATGAGAGCGTAGAGGAGTGCATTCTGCGGTCATAGAAGTGGATGCACTGGACGGGACGTCGGTCAACATTGTTACTTCAGGGCACTAAGGAGTGCGGTTCAATGGGAATGGTAATTAGTATAGACCGCGACATGAAAGGGCACAATAAGAGGAGTCCTATGCCTTTTTTTACCGTTGCAAATGGGGCACTGCCTGTAATAGATAGCGTCCATGGCCCTGCGTGAAATCTCTTGTGATTTCCTCCGCGTCTTTTTGTCCCGTCTTCACCACGCAGTCAACTTCAAAACCATAGAAATTTCGGTGTTTCTCTATGGTGTCTTTACTACTCTTCCTCGCTAGCGTTCCTTGTCCGCTTTTCGCCGTGTCAGCTTCTCCTTTTTCTTGAGCAACCGAGTGGATTCTTTCCGTGCTGCCTTGATGTAATAGGCCTATGGACGCAATCTTTGAAGGGTGCTTGTGGCCAATCACGACGGATATGACTGCTGCGTAAATTGAGGTGTCAAATGACGAACAAAGCTGAACAAAAATCACACCATTTCGTTTTTTTTAGACTCTTAATACTCACTTTAGACACTAAGGCTCACTCTTGCTTGAGTCATTTCCTCTAATCGTAACTAGTGACGAGCCTTTCCCTCTAGTCTCAATCGGGCGCTGAGATCGGTAAGAATGCGAGTTGTATGTAATACTTAAGAGCTTTTTTGGTCGAAGTCTCTGTATACAAGGGGTTCCTATACTGCAAGAAGGAAGAGTGATGTTCTTGAGTCGGATAACGGCACTCGACTTATGCGCTCTAAGAGCTGCCGTCGAAATGGCGTGTGCGCAATGGACATCGTTGAACTGCTGGATCCTGCTCGCGCTCCTGTATCATTTTTTATTACTGTTGACACTAGGAAGTTGAATAGTGAACGCACCGCCGGAGAAAGGCGAAGAAAGGAAGTCAACGCAATCGCGAGACTCCTACCTGCCATAATGTTTCCAACGGCTGGCTTCTGAGGTCCAGCAGCAGCAGGAGCAGCAGCGTTTGGAGCAGGTTTCTTCTTATCCGCGCCAAAAACGTCGCCTTGCACGCCTGCCAGCGTCTGATAGTTTGGATCGTATGTACCTGAATCTTTTTGTTTGATTCTGTTTTTCAAAAATGGCGAACTGGTGCAGCGGCAGACCAGCAACTCCTCCCTGAGCTGGAGCTTTCGGCAGCGGCTGAGCCGGTGATGGTGGAGGTTGAGGTCTGGCGGATCCCACTGTAACAATGGATAATACTGAGTAAAGTCTGATAAAACTTCAAGGAAAAGTTAGGAGCTGAAAAACTCACTGGCTGTACTTCGGTCGCTATCTCTTTCCTAAGAATTCAGTACTAATGTCACGTAAACTGAAATACTGCCTTATGCTTACCTTTTTGCTTCCACAAAGTATTATCATGTATATAGCAGAGAAATACATCATAATCCGGCGGGTTGGAAAATGCATAAATTGCCAACCAGTGGACCGACCCTCGTATGTACACGTGTCTGACTGAGGAATGACAGCGAACAACAAAGTCCGATGAGTATCTTTTAAAGATAAATAACCCGTGAAATCAGATTCATTTCGGTTCATTCTTGTTAGCGCAGTATCAACTTCGAATCTGCTTACAAAATTGACTAGAGCGCACATAACTCTTCTTACGTTGTCACTTCTCCAAAGTTTTTTTTATATTCTGCAGAGTCCACTGTTTTGGCACTTGACACATGAGATACCCCATGGAACAAGTAAATATAGTAATAGAATAAACATTTGGGCACTATTCAACTATTACGACCCCAAAAACTCAAAATTTTATTTTTCGTCGAAACTTCGCCTATAGGGGTTATTTGAGGTCCTGATCACGAAAATGAGGTTCATTTTTGGCGTTGGCGCCATTTGGCGCCAATTTGGCGCCAAGGGTGTTTTCACCAAATTCGCTGTAAACTTGCATTATTTAGGGTCCTGATTACGGATATGTCATTCGTTTTTAGCATTTCCACCGTTCAACGCACATTTTCCATTCTCCTGGGTCCTCTCACTTGTACATAATACCTAGGACTGAGGGTGAAAATCGTGTCGAGTACGTGGTCGCAGAAGTACGACCCCCCCCCCCCCGAAATCGAGATCCTGGCACGACCCCCCAAAACAGAGCAAATTAATTCAATTAATTAATCAAAAAAAATCCTGCAAAATAAATCAAAAAAATCCTGCAAAATAATGTTATGGACGCCTCATCTTGTCATCTGTGCACTGTCTTTCATCGCTGCACACTTTTGTGTATTTACTGAAATATCGACTCGAGGAAAGAGGCATTAACTTTGTGTGACCTCAAAGTCAGGTTCGTTCAGAAATGCACAGAAATCCTGAAGGCACGGGGTTGCGATTTAATCTTAATTCCTGCTTGAGTATATCGAAACAGCCGAGTGTATCAATCAACGGCCGATTCAACGGCAGCTGCGGCGCCCGAAAAAAAAAACCGTCGAAATCTACACCCTCGATGAAAAGGTTGCATTCCTCCATTTCATAACCTTTGAAGCAGTTTGAGGTAGGGTTAGATAGAGCTGGATTTCGCGTTTCCAAGAAGTATTGAAAGCCTTCCATGCAGAAAGATAGGGTCTCTCAAATTTCGTCGAGTAAACGTCGAGGACGCTGAAATTTTCACGCGAGTTTTTGCCACTTCAAGAGCAATATCTCTCTTAAAACGTGAGATCCTGAAAAAGTGAAGATAGTTTTGGAAAGCGGAAGGTTTGCGCTTTCTGATGGTCTTCTTAGCTTTCTTCTACATTTCCTAGTTGAGAAGATATCTGCGTCGAGTATGTATCGAGGACGGATCCGGCCACCTGAAAATCCGCTCCCTTCTTCACCATTGCAAGTGTAATTGTTGGCAACGCTTGAAATGGGTCTAGAAAACATCCTCCCAACATAAGCAATAGGAAAAGGGGCAATCGTCATCATCGAATTTTGTCTGAGTATAGGCCATGCATCCGACCTCACTCGAAGTTGCAGAATCGATTCGAAGGTGTCATATGATCATGACCAGTTGACAGAAGCTGCATTGTAGTAAACGCATTTCGTAACTCCTACAACCTAAAGAACAACTTCATTTGCCCAGGGCTTTTCCTTCACGGTTGTCGTTTTTGCGACAGGGTCCCTAACAACAGTGTCATTCTCAGCGAGGTATTAAGGGAGAAGGAGCGAGCGATAGGCAGAGGAGGTGCCTTTGCAGCGCGTGCGCACATGTGGCAGTCTTCTTTGCGGGGATGCACTTTCATTCTTTGTACTGCCTTCAAATACGCCCTTCTCATGAAGGTGGAGGAATGGAGCGACTGAACCTGCAAAGAAAATTTAATATCATGTTTTTTTTTCAGATATTTTCATTTTCTGCTGCGCTATACCCTCTTACCTATCTGCACCACGATACCACTGCTGTTACTGACCCCCAAGAGTACGACCCCCCATGGACCAGCCCAACAGGTACGACCCCCCTGTCGAGGATTTCCTCGACCGATATTCACCCTGCTAGACTGAGCCTAGAAGGAGGGAGGACTCCGGGGTGGGTGAACCAGTCAACATGTGGCAAACGTTAAAGCGTATAAGATCACAGGATAAGTGTTATTCACTTCGGAGCACTCTCCTCCTCAAAGGCTTAGTCCCGATCGCGAGGTGATCAGTGAGAGGGCGCAGACGAGCGGAAAACAGGCGCACACAGGCGCTAAAAGGAAAAATGAATGTTATATTCGTGATCAGGACCCCAAATAACCCCTATGTGCAAGTTTACAGCGAATTTGGTGAAAACACCCTTGGCGCCAAATTGGCGCCAATTGGCGCCAAATGGCGCCAGCGCCAAAAATGAACCTCATTTTCGTGATCAGGGCACCGAATTACCCCTATAGGCGAAGTTTCGACGAAAAATAAAATTTTGAGTTTTTGGGGTCGTAATAGTTGAATAGTGCCCAAGTTTCTCTCTGCTTTTGGCTATTCATATTGCACCCTTCATTTTACCTCCATCAGTTCTGTGGCGCCTTTTCCAGGCTCCTGTCCCGTAGAAAACTTGTCATAATGAGGTTGTACTATTGCTTAGTTTTATCGGTTTCTGCACTGATTATGCTGTTTAGGATAGATGATTGCCAGCGATTTCGGGATCTTTGAAGTTGATTAGATCAAACGCTTCGGACGACGTAAATTGTTTGACGTGACTACGCAGCGGTTCCCTCTACAGCGTCGTTGTTCACGACTTGGTGCACGAAAATTGAGAAGAGAAGGAGAACAAACCATCACAAACTAGAAAAGCTGTGAGTCAGAAAAGAAACGCTGGGTCTATTCCAGGAGGGCATTATGTTGCAGTATTCGAAGCTGAGCCCATGCTGATTCAATTCGTTGTGTATGCACACCAGTCGTGGGCTCTACAAAATTGTGGAAGTGATGGGAAACGGTTTCGCCTACGGATCCGATGTTGGCCAAGTCCTCATAACCATGCCAAGAGTCCGTACTAATGATGGTGAAAATAGGCAACAACGTTCCGGACATCAATTGCATCTAAGTGTTGGACTACCCTCGAGTTTGGCACGGTTTCCACAACAAGTCTCGTATTCCATTATTCAGTGCTACCTACCTAGCTCACATAATGGCGTTTAGCACGGGCATTCTTACGTACATTATAAGTTTTCCCGCCACAACAAGTTTTGGTCCACTTTTGCAATCGGGCGAAACTCGTGCCTGGAGCGCTTATTTTTGTGAGCACCTCGTTGTTGGGGAATGTTTCGCCAATTATATCTGAATCACTGATCCCACTCGCAGATGGTTTTAGAGTCTACCTCATACGATTGTGCTTTTTGTTCCACTGTTCACACCTCACTGAGCAAATATGTAGCTTTTTGCGATTTCCCCCATTTTTATAAGAAAAAGGTATCATTTAAGGTCGCAGCCCTCCTAATAGACTTCCTCTTCTTCTATCATGACGCGCGTCTTACATTCAGTTTCAATCCGGACGCGCGGTTCTCCTCTCCTGGATTGAGTTAAAAGTTACAACTCGTAATTATCGTAATTGGGGCCAGGTCTGTTGCCGTGCTAACGACAACCGCGTCATTTGCTCTTGTGTGCCCATCATCCTGAAAAGGGCCGTGTCCCCCGGGGAGCAACACGGTGGCGGGCGTCCTGACGCCCCTAAGGCTAAAGATAAAGGATAAAGGATAAAGCATTTGCCGTTGATCAATCCCTTTTTGGGATGCGGCACGCATTCTACTTCCATTTGTACATTCGCAGTGGCATTTGAATGCGATGTGGCCTATACAATGACTTGCGGGGGCCAGCCGATGTTCAAGTCAGTGTTTTTATCCTCCCAGACAAGTCTGGTACCAATTAACCGACCCCGGAGGGATGGAAGGCTTGGTTGGCCCGGGCGACTCACGACCCAGGATTTGATCCCGGACCGCTCGCGTGGTGAGCGCGCCACTTGTCACTGCACCACTTCCGCCCTTATTCCCTTAGGGACTAA